GTAAACTTTTAAGAGGCTAAAATATGTGTAAATGGTTAAACTAATGCATTGGAAACAGATAGTGGAACAGCTTTTTCTTTAAACAGGTTGTTCAGTAAATAGGAGCATGCAGAGATGAATTTATAGGTGTCTTGAAGTGTCAAAGTAGGCTACAATCACCTGAACAAATATTGTTTATTGCAATAATTCAGATTCTGTTTGTGTTCATATTGCATTTGTTTTCATCCCCAGTGCACACATGCTCCTATTTGTCCGTTTGTTTACTTTATAACCCATGTTTCCCCCAACTCTCCACCTTCTGTCCTGTCTTCCAGGTGGACACCTCACTGGCTCACTTTGTATGCAGCGTCATAGCTCGAATCTTGGCCTTCACCAACTCCTGCCTCAACCCATTCGCCCTTTACCTGCTGAGCAAGACCTTCAAGAAGCAGTTTAATCAGCAGCTGTGTTGCTGCTGTCGTATGATCTTCAAACACTCCTCGCAGAGCCCGACACATAACGCAACACGCGTGACATCGGTCCGCAGCACGCATCACTCCATGGCCAGTCTGACCATGATCAATGGCAGACAGCTCTGTCAGGAGGACTGCGTGTAAAAAGAGAGGAAAGTTTTTCAGCATTTCTTCACATGATTACATACGATCATATGACCTCTAGAAAATTAATACATGCTGTTCAATCTATTGAGCCTGTGGTGAAGTATTTGTGCACTAAATACTAAGTCTGAACGTGTAATTGTAAAGTAGTAGTGTTTAAATATTAGCTTTTTTAAAATTCAGAATAAATAATGTTCACTCCGTAACATGTCTGCTTTCAAGTAAGTGGCTTTACTTATCAAATCAAAGGATAAAATATGTATAGGGGCAATCAAATTTTACTGCAATTCTTGCTGACATATTTGTAGCACAAAATATGGATATGATTTGATGGGATTTTTTTTTTAATGCAACTGCTTACATTTCAGAAAATCTCCTAATTTGACTTCTGCATAATCATCTTTTTGATATTGTGTGTTCAGAGATGAGACTCGTCACGATGGATTCAATTCATTTCATATTTCAACTCACCCGTAATCGCTGCCCTTTTGATCTACTTGTCCAGTGTTTCAGGTCCTGAATCAATGGCCCAGTAACAAGTAACAGTGGAAATCTGAGGGTTTCTTCAATAGTTCTTGACATACAGTTTTTTAAACATAGCCTCAAATTTCAATGTGGAAAAAAACTCCAAACAAAACACAAGTGGGTCGACAGGCAATTAAAAAAAAAAAAATTATCTCAGAAAATATTTAGTATATCAATCTAAATTTTCAAAAACACCATTTAAATATCCATAGATTGTGATAAAACACAGATCAGATGGTCCCTGATGAGTTGAGATGGACACTCATTTTTTTCTGATTTTAGGTGCCAGATCAAATAGGAATATATCTTTTGCTACAAGTTTTTACAAAAAAACTCCAATTGATGTGCTCTAAAATGTGGCCTTTTTATGTTGGTGGATATTCTGCTGAATACTGACGTGTAATATTCTGTCTGCACTCCGTTGCTGCATGTGTACAATATTTCTAAATATGTGATACTTGTGAAACTTGACGTTACTTTCAAAGTGTATATTTTAAATGTTATCTGGCCTGTGGTTACAGAATGTATACTGAGTTGCGTCTCCGTTGTACACACTGTGAAACATAAATAGTCAATGTAAATGTATATGAAATGTGTTAATTTGGTATTGGATTGTGTAATGTTGTTGTGTGCATATTTTGGACTATGTTTGAGGGGAAATTAAAAAGTTTAAACTGTAGCTTAAACTCGTTGAACTGTGTGTTGAAAAAGTAACTCAATAAAAATTGCAGTGTGTCAGATATACTGCAAAGAGAAAGTGAAGCTCATGACTCTCCTTTAGTTCTGTTTAGTGTCTTAGTCCTGTTGACAGCGTATACACATATTTCTGTTCTGCTGTGTTCACTGGACGCGATTATTCTGCTCTGTCACATGCTAGACTTACCGACACCGGATCACAGCGCAGTGTCCTAATTTGGTGTTTCACAGAGGGAGAGGATCATGCCCAGGTGGTGGTGTGTGGGTGCATAATTCAGCCTGGATAGTGTTTGTTTAGTTGTGCTGTGATGGCCTTGCCAAATTTGTGTCCTGCATGGGCTTGATCACCTACTTAACATGTCATATTTAGAGTCAGGTTCTTTCTGTGGAGAGTCTGGAATGTAAATAAGGATTTGGTCTTATCTTTGTCAGTGAAGGAATGAAAGTATCTCAAATTAAAGATTAATAAAAGCACATTAACGCATGTTTGAAATACTTCTCCTACCCTGCAGAAAAAATGTTCACAGTTGTTAAAGTCTTCAGGAGGAAATCAGTATAAACTCTGCAGGAAGATGAATCCTGAAAAGTTCTTTGACTTTATGCAGGTTTCCTTTAACACAGGGGTCTCCAATCCTGGTCCTCGAGAGCCACAGTCCTGCATGTTTTAGATGTCTCCCTCTTCCAACACACCTGATTCAAATGATCAGGATCGTTATCAGGCTTCGACAGAGCTCGATGATGAGCTGATCATTTGCAGGTGCAGCCATCACGCTGCAAACATTAGTTTAAGTTGCAACACTTTAAACTCACATTTCACATACAAAAACAAACAACAACACATAATTTATCATTTCAAACAACACAGTCATAATATATTTAGCCACTGCTGAAGTACTTAAGTTCTATTTGTAGCGCACATTTAGCATCATTTGAAGTTGTACTAATCTTTTCTTTGTCTTACCTGTGCTGAGGTATCCTGTCCGCTGCTACTGTGGTCATCTGGCTGGCTTCAGGCAAAATATACATAAAAGGAGCTGCAGGATTTTATACCAGAGCCACAATCAGACCATACCAAGTGTCTGCCACTTCAAGGGTGGACTGGGTTCATTTGATTTAAATATTACTTCATTCATTTGATTTGTGTTAAGTATTTGGATATATTTTGGGTTTGTTTGTTAACATTCTTTTTATTAAGTAGACCAATTGTACTGTTTTGTGCTTTTTGTTGTTAGTTTTCAGTGTATGTGTTTAATGTTTCCACTATTGTGTGTAACTGCTCTAATCATCCAGTACATATATGTCCCTATTTGATTGGTGTTTTTCAGGTCTGTTACTGGTTTATTTTTACCACTGCTGCTGGTTTGCTGTGTTTTGTTGCTTACTTAAGTTTTGTTCTTTTGACCTCTTTTAATTTAGTGTTGATTTTTATAACTTTGTCATTTTTGGGGGGTGAAATAAAAACCCTGTTTTTGAGTTCACATGCCAGTTCTTTAGCTTCGTGGCTTTGACCCTCACAGGCAGTATTTGTTAAAAGCGTTAAACAGAGCAGCAGCAACAACATTAAAACCACTAATCAATGAAGTGAACAGCATGGATCATGTTATTTCAGTGCAATGTCCTACTGAGACACGTTTGGTTCTGGTATTTATTTATGCATGTTACTTTGGCAGCAGTTGTCTGTACGCTCTCAAACTGACAAAACCACTTGAGGTACATTACAAAGAGTCCAAGACGTTGACCTCCCCTTGCCCCAGATCCCAATCTGATTGAGCATTGCAGGATGTGCAGGAGCAAACCTGTTTCATTTGACTCAAAGGATCTGCTGCCAACATCCCATCAGACACCACAGGACACTGCATGAGTCCTGTTTCCATGACATGATGGGACAAAGTTGTACAATGTTAGATAAGTGATTCACTGTTGTGGCTAATCAATGTATATCCCACACACAGTCTTATATATACTGATAAAAACCTATCCAATCAAACACTGTGAACCTTTCCCTGACAGATAAATGTCTCAAAATGTGTGAAAACAGCCTCCTCATGTCAAACTATATCCAATCCAATACGATGCAGTTTGGACTGCTGATCAAATACATAGAAAAACACAGAGATAGTGCTGACATGTTAAACTAACTAGAATCACAGCCATGCAGTTGTATGTCTCAGTTAAGCTGCAGTTTACATCATTGTCTGTCCAGACTGATATAATATGTGGAGTGAAAGATTTGAAGTGTGTAACTTTCTTGAGAGAAACAGAAAGTCTCATTACCTGCATGTGTTGATATGCTTTGCCAAAAAAGCAGAATCTGAGATCAAAAACTGTAGCCTTGACCGATGACAAAGCTTTAATATAGATGTTGCTGAAAAGATGTGACAAATTCTAAAGTTTTGATGCTTTTCAATCAGCTTCAGCTGCACAGAGGAGCTTTACAGTCACCACAGTTTCAAAACGGGGGCACAAGAGTAACGTCATCAATGCAGCATCAAAGTGTGAAACATGTTCCAGAGTAATGGAAAAATGTGGTATTTGACATAAAACTGAAGGTGGGATTGACACACACA